CTAGAATGACTTCAAATTGTAACATGAATCTACCTTCGTTTATCCTAAGTAACCTTAAACTCATAACAGTATACATCTATTTATAATTAAATTATGTTCTTTTATTGCCCCTTAAACCATGTCTAAGTAATATTTGGGCCATTATAAGTTGTAAATCACTTGGAGAATGCGGAGGTCACATTATGCTATCGATTTTACATTACCCACAAGCTGCTTGCATGTATGCCTCTTGAAACATTTTCATTATATTATTATTATTATTATTTATTTTACCTCATCTAACCTCAACATAATAACAAATAAAGAAAAAATATGAAAAACCAAAAACAAAGTACTTATCAGAATCTTGTTAATTGTCAATGACACTTAACCATACTCTTTTTTATTTAGTTAAATAATGCACCAAAGAACATAGACTAATAACATGCAAAAAGTAGACAATTTATCCTAATTCTCACAATTTTTCTGGCTTTTTAACTTTGACAAGAGCTGTTACAAATTAATTCAAGCTAGTCATTATCTTTCCTGTGGGAATGAAACTTGTACTTACAAAGAAATTGACAATTCAACATTCAGAAAACTACGTAACACAATATGTTATTTGTAAGATGAAAACCTTGACTTTCTATTGGTTATAGATAATATAGAATTAAACATAAGAAAGAACTATTAACAAATTCTGAAAGAAAGGATGTGACAGGTGGCTGTGGCAAAAGGGGTCTGATTTTCTATTTGATAGCTCTGTGACCAAGCAAAATTGAAGGCTATAAAATTATAGTTTGATTGAACAGTGGCAACTTTATAGTGAGTAATTTAAGTTTAATTTCTTACTTATTGGAGGGTTGGTGGATAAAATAGAGAAGAGGAGATATCTAGAGAAAATGTGTCGTGTGTTACACTAGGGGAAATTTTGAATTTTTTAAATATTGCCTTATAAAATTAAAAACTTAGAACTTATATACTATAATATGGATTATTAGCTAAGATTTTATGCTATATTAATTGGTATAACATAAACAAAAAGTAGATTAATAAAATTCTGAATATAAGTCACTAATACCTTGTGACATGCTCAGTAAAGAATGTGTCACGATAGGGATAAGAAGTGAAGTCCATTTGTATGGCAGCCAAAGTAAAAGTTGAAAAATTGACTTACTGATTCAAATGAGCAGATCATTTGCACCTAGGACAAATGCTCATCCCCAAAAAATCTGAAGACTTAGTATTGATTATCCTCAACTACTCTCAGATGTGTTTTTAGAAGCTCATTTCAAATTGAATATTGTTTCATAATATATATTAAAAAACATATTTAATACAGATATTTCATAATTTCCTTAAATTCCATCATCAGTTTTAATATTTGAAAAAAAAGTTCATAGTATTTGAACTATAAAAAAAATTAGCATTGAATGAATTTTTGTATTCAATCAGAAGTTTAGAAAGAACAGATTTAGATGGTGACAATATAATGGAATGTATGATAAAATGTGAGGTATACACATATTTAAAAATTGTTAAGAGAAACTAGTATAAAGAAAGGCTTAAATATAAGTATAAACACTGTATCTTTAAAATAATAATAAATATCAAATAAAAACACTGAGAATCTGGAATTGATTACATTAATGACAACAGGGAGGAGTTGATGTTATAATGTAGTGTTGGGTGATCATTGAAAATGAAGAGGCTTTCTTTAATAAAGAATTCATAATCTGTGGTTCCAGAATCAAGAGTTTTAGAGTTTTCTAGAAGTATGGAGTGGTTGTTATTCTCACTGTTCTATTAGATGCAAGACTTAGATGGATTAGTTTGCTTATATCCACTTGTGTGTGTGTGTGACGTGTAGTTTTACCAATATAGGTACCTTTACAGCTGCCACAATTATATTTATATACAACCCATGAGTGGGTAGGAATGGGTAGAGCATCTTTGGTTTTAAACATATTGTTAATTCTAAATGTTGATATAAATACTAAATGTAGCTTAATTTGTGGGTAATATGTTTTGATTATTTTTTCAATTTGAAATTTGAGTTTAACACTTTGCCAAAGAAAGGAATGATAAGAACTAGTAGATATTTTGAGATGCAGCTTGACTTTTTGGTAGGTTCTGTTTTATTTGTTAAAAATTTTTGTGATAAAGTTTAAGAAATTAAGGGGATAGCTATTACTTTGTAATATGTTATGATTTTTTGATATTTCTGAGTGAGGACAAAAGTAGTCAGAACAGATATTATAAGCTCTGTTAAAAGATTTAGAACAAGGTTATGTTTGAAGGAGTCTGGTATGAAACTGTTTAAGCGAGTGTATAAGTCAGTAAATGTTTTCGTACAGTAAATAGATGTGCCAAAGAAATTGTTTCATTTTAATTTAAATATGATTAACAACAAATATTGCTCTCTCTTGGTGATATATTTTAATTAGGAATCTCACTCTGATCTGATTTAGATACATTTATCAACTGACTGCTTGTGTGTTATGTAAAAATTGTTTTGCACAGTTACATAAACATAGTCTATGTTACTTCCCTATGTTCTGTGTAATTTTTTGCAAAACATTAATCAGATGTCAAATTTGTATTCTACACAGCAGGTACCATTTATTTCACCATGAAATCAGCAAGTTTATATCCATGTTTGCTACCATAAGGAATTTATATTGTAATTTTAGGATTAATTTTGTCTAAAATTTAAATTCTTTTATAACTATATGCTTTTATTGCTACTTCAGAAATTTTACATCAAGTGGCAAACCAGCTAATCACAAAATTAAATGTGAAAACTATAAAAAAAATTAGTGCTAAGAATAAGGAAATGTTGAATATGCTTAATCATGAACAAAAGTAAAGACAAGTGGAAAAATGATTTAAGCATAATCAAGTTTTACTGTATCTCTTTATGTGGTATTGTCAGCGGTGTACATTAATTCACAATAGATTTGTATTGTTTTTGGTATTTTAAAACTCAGTTTTGCTTTCCAGTATTTTATACTTATGATTTAAATGACAAACCTTCAATTTTCTCAGGTCTTCAAACTTGAAGTTATAATTGTATGCAATTTAGGAAGTGATACACTGTGTAAGTGTTAACTTTCTAAGAATTGCATTTCACTGTCCTGTTATTATACTTTCTTGATCTGTGACTTTGCTAAATGAGTGAATGCTGTAATTAATTTTACTAATAAATGAAAGCTTTCAAGCATTTCAATTTTTTTGTTAAATTGGTATTTATATATATCTGTTGACACATTTGTACAAGTGATTGAAATTAAACTTAAGTGTCTTATTTAAAGAAAAACAGCTTTGCAGAAAAGTATAGTATTTTTATGATTTTGACTTGTTCTTTCGTAAGATTTTTATGTTATATTATATCTTTTCAGTTAAGTTTTGTGTTGCATTTGTTTCAGTGGGTACTTCAATTGTTTTATATTTTCTATTAAAGCCCAAGCCTATTGATGTCCAAGTAATATCGCATCACATGCAACGGTATGCTGTATGGTTCGGAGGCAGTATGCTAGCATCCACAGTAAGTTCATTTATGATTAGTGTTTGATATGTCTTTTTATATATCTTTTACATGTGTAAGTACATGAGCACGTATGAAACTAATACTTAAATATTTTATTAAGAGTAATTTTAGTATTAGATGTGCTACATATGAGTAGATACTTTTGTCTTTTTTTCATGTAGTCTTAAGTTTTTAACTTTAATGAGTAAAATATTTTGTTAGTCAATAACATCAATATCTATAAACTCTACATATAATTCATTGCTCATGATTTCTTGTCTTATAGAGTATTTAGTAGAAATTATTCTTCTTATACATGTGTTCTTTCAGTTTTGTTTCTGTAATAAAAAATATCTCAATTTGATGAAATGTCTTCAGGTACATTTTCTCTCTTAGACTAACTAAGAAGTTTTTCAACATGACTTCATACTTTGTGCTATCTTTTATGGCACTTGTTGCACACAACTTTCTGATGTATATTATGGATTGGTCATTTACAAATTTCTTTTATTCTTTGTCACTTTCAGAACATTTTGTTTCTGCAATTTTATGAAAGTAATGTAATTTCTTTGCTATTTTCAATTGAAAATTGAATTCCTCAGTATTTGTCTTCCAACAAGCAACCTGTAACCAATGAAGATACATTGGAATAGCTGTATTTTCAGCAAATATTCCAGACTTGTAAGACATCTTAAGTTTTGCATTTACTAAAAATGTTCTTAAACTTTTCATTCCACAAAATATTTTCATTACCTTATTTACTGACATAATGGATTGTACAATTAATCTTTTTCTGATCTATCCTCATGTGCATTTTCAATAGCAAAGATACCATAAAACTTGAATGTTTAGATAATAGTTGTTTGTTTATATGGGAGTTAACCCAATTTCTATTGATTTTGAAGTATTTTGTCCACAGTTTACTTATAAACATTATCAGAGCCATTTTGTAGATTGAATTTCTGACTGTCAAATCTTTGAGTGAGATTTGAAAAACATGATTAAGACTGTTTACTTACAAATTTTTCAGTTTTATACGTGTATATAAACACCAAGTACCATAGTGTTACAACAGCGGAAGTCACGCGACGCCGGTAACACGTCATGAGTTTCTAGTAGGATCATGACTGTTCCTGGCAACTCTAGTCTTTTCTAGGTGCCCCCTATTTTAATATATAAG